GTGGTTGACCTTCTTTCCCTTCTCATTTGGGTGCTATGAAAAAAAGAAAGAGGAAAGTGTGAATGGCTTGCTCTTGTTGGACTATATTATTCACTTATTCGTCGGGTAAAAGAGCTTTGTTTTATTTTTTATTTTTTACAGAAATTATCCAATTTTATTGCTGAAATTATACTAGATTTACATTATTCAGAACTGACATCAACTCAAGAGAAACCCCTCTTAGGAGGATGCTTTATTTCAAATTTTAAAATCAATTTAAGAATCTCTAGATAACTATTTTCAAAAAATTAAAGTTAGATGACATTTCATTTTATTTTCATTTTCTCTTTTTTCTTTTTAGGGTTGATTACTGGGTTGAAGAAGTTTCCCCAAAAATTTGAGTACCATTCCACCTGAGAACCTCATGACCGTTATTTTCAAAAAAGTAATTTGAATTCTTAAACACTTAAAATGGACCTTCCAAAAGTTGGATAATCGCTATTTGATCTTATGATGTAATTTTTTTTTTTTTTTGCTGGGGAACATAATGAGCGCACTTGATGTCCTTTTTCTCTTCTTTTTTCTTTGATACGATTATAGGTGGAGATTGCAAGGAAGGTCGGTCAACTAACGTTTGTTTGTTTTTTTTTTCATGAGCAATGACAAGGTGGCCTGAGGTTAGAATCTACGGATCGTCCTTTGGATTGAGCAGGCCTCAGTTCTTGAACGGTCCCCATCCTCGGATTGCTCTTTTTTTCTTATTTTTTGAGAAAAATAGTGGCCCGAGATCCCCATCCTCAGACCGAGCTTTATTTCTCAACTTTTGAGAAAAACATTGGTCTAAAGATAGGGACCTTGGAACACTCTCTAGACTAAGCAGAACTCAGTTCCAGGGCGGTCCATACTTTATTTCTTATTTTTTGAGGAAAACAATGGTCCAAGGATGGGAACCTCCGGCTGTTGTATTGGAGTTTTGCAGTGTTCACAGAGCAGTTCGATGATTTTAACCTTGGACTGCTAGGGCAATGCCCTATTGACAAAAAAATTAAAATGCGATCCGAGGATGGAATCTTGGACCGAGGGATAATTTTGAAAAAAAGAAAAAAAAGAAAAGAAAAAGAGTGCAGATTGACCGATCTTTCTTGTAATTTTTGCTTATAATCGGATCATTTCGTATTTTAGGTACTTATTTCAGGTCCCTTCGTAATTTACTCTTCTTCTTTTTCACTTTTAAGGTTGATTACTAGATCAAAAAGGTTCCGCTCTCAAAACTCTTAGGTATTAAAATTACTCTCAGTTCCAGGATCGTCCATACTTTATTTCTTATTTTTTGAGGAAAACAATGGTCCAAGGATGGGAACCTCCGGCTGTTGTATTGGAGTTTTGCAGTGTTCACAGAGTAGTTCGATGATTTTAACCTTGGACTGCTAGGGCAATGCCCTATTGACAAAAAAATTAAAATGCGATCCGAGGATGGAATCTTGGACCGAGGGATAATTTTGAAAAAAAGAAAAAAAAGAAAAGAAAAAGAG